TTTGTTGTTGCTCTGTCCTGACTGCAGGCCAGAGCCCTCTGTTTGCTGCTTTGCCTTGCCTAAGGGCCTGGGCTTATAGACTTTGCTGCTCTGCCTTGACTGCAGGCCAGAGCCCCTTAATGGGTGGTGCTCCGCCCTGCCTGAGGACCTGGGCACCTAGATTTGTTACTGCTTGGCCCAGTTTAGGTGGCCTCAGCTTTAAAGACATTTAATTCCCCTCTGAGTGAGTGCCGCAACAAGGGTGCGATTACGAGAAGGCATGGCTTCCCTCAGAGATTGACAGAGAAGTTTTTTTGTTCAATGATACAGATTTAAAAGTCACTATCATTGAACAAAAACTTCAGAAACAGACTTCAAAGAGAAACAGCAGAACTAAAATTCATTTGCAAATTTAACACCATTAATCTGGGCTTGAATAGGGACTGGGAGTGGCTGGCTCATTACAGAAGCAGCTTTTCCTCTCCTGAAATTGACACCTCCTCATCTATTATTGGGAGTGGACTACATCCACCCTGTCAACACTGGTTCTCCACTTGCGAAGTAACTCCCTGCTCTCCATGTGTCAGTATATAATGCCTGCATCTGTAACTTTCACTCTATGCATCTGAAGAAGTGAGGTTTTTACCCACAAAAGCTTATGCCCAAATAAAAAAGATTTGGATGTCTTTGGCATATAGGTAAACCAGATATTGGATCTCCATTGCAACATGGATGGAAAAATGTGGATGACAAACTACTTCCTGTATTTGTCAAGGGCCCAATGGCATCTGAGCTTCTACAAGACCTTATTTGTGCCTGTACCTGTACCTATAGAGGTTACTGGACAATCAACTGTGTCTGTAGACAGAACAATCTTTGTTGCACAGAATTGGGTACATGCCAAGGCAATGAAGACTGTGGTAACCCAGGAACTCTCGACAGAGATCATAATGAAGAACAAGATGATAATTATGTTGACTAGAAATGTCACAAGTGCTATTACATTTCAATGATACCTGTACACATTTATTTATTAGCTTCTGGTTTACCTTTAGATTGTTGTTGTGATGTTTTGAGTTCTCAAAGAAATCCAATTTTATGTCTTGAAATAATACACAGTCATTAAACTAACAGAAACGAATGCAAGTATTTCAAAGTGGTCATTTTATCGACTTGATGGGGTCATTGTTTATTTCTATGGTAATAGCACCACTTGACAGCTCCACATCATACATCATATTAAAGTAGACATAATAAGCTTTCAAATGATGTATGATGTGTGTGTATAGAGAAGTTACATTGAGTTAACCAAATCAGTGGTGTCTGCTGCTAATCTACTTCTGCTCACTGAACAACTACTGTAGTTGGTGGCTCATTAAGAGGGGGAACTTGATCTACAGGTTGTGGAGATTCTGCATTATGGCATGTGTTGGACAGGAGGGTCAGACTAGAAGGTCTAACAAAGGCAGTGTTTCACAACCAGGGTCACGAAAGGCAATCAGGGAAGGGTGCAGGCTGCTGCAAGGTGTTGAAAATTTTATTGCAGTCTAAAGGAAAGAATGTTGCTCTCCCACTTGCTGCAGACCCTTCCCCTTGAAGGTCCAGTATTCTCTGTCAACCTCCCAACACCCCCTATCCCCCCATACATTTTATATGTTTATAATTGATACATTTTTTTTTTACTCTTAATCTAGAGAAAATGTAAGGGGATTGTGAAAATGTTGGACTTCAAATAAGGATTTGCAAACTCTAGTGGCCTTAAAATCTTTGAATTACGTAGCACTGATTTAGGGTCTTTCCAGGGATTCTTGGAATTTTTAATATTTCTCAAGAACAGAAGCTTTTATTTAAAAAAAAAAAAGTCAAGAAAAATGTAGCTTCTAGCCTTTCTGGTCCTAAGGAAAACCTTCTGCAGTACTGTCTTCCCCAAACTGTAGCCAGACTGAATCAATATCTCAGGGGCCTGATCCAGCAAGATTCAGTGAGTACCTTCAGTGACAAATCCTAGTAGAAGCGTAGCACAATACCAATGATCTCAACGGTATGTTCATACTGAAACACCACCACCATTAGCTAATGTGAACACTAGCTGTTTCACTGTGGATCACTTAGTCGTAGCATTTGGCTAATATGCTTTATCCCTTTAATAGTTACATTCAGTTGGATCATTCCATATACATAAATATAACAAATTCCTGTCCTCAGCCACATTCACTGCTTCTCTATTCATTTCAGGCTCCATTTCCACTCTCCTAAGCCATCCATCACACTTATTTTTAAGTTTTTCTTTTTGTGGAAAGGGAAAATCTGTCAAACCACTTATTTTATATCAGGAACAAAAAGAATCCTAACAAGAGTATTGGTCCCTTACTATATGTAAATGGCAGAATTATCAGTAATAATAAAGAAAAGGCAGAAGTGTTCTGTATTTGGGAAAAAAGCAATGCAGTTATATGTAACACTCTTTCCATTCCACTAGTATCTCAGAGGATGTTAAACAGCAGCTACTAAAGTTAGACATTTTAAAATCAGCAGGTCTGGCTAACTTGCATCCAAGAGTTTTAAAAGAGCTGTCTGAGTAGCTCACTGGATCACTAATGTAGATTTTTAGTAAGTCTTGAAACACTGGGGAAATCCTGGAAAACTGAAGGAAAGCTAATGTGCCAATATAAAAAAAAAAGGTAAATGGGAAGATGAGGAAATTATAGGTCTGTCAATCTTCAGCCACTTTCTTTTGCTGCTATTAGGGAACAGTAAGACTTTTGGGACACAGTTTGTATGAACGACAATGCTGACATTTTCAGACGTGACTAGTGATTTTGGGTACCCAAGTCAACACCTTAATAGGACTACTTTCGGGGACAAGGCTGAATGCACCTATGGCAGACATTCAAATGGGGGAGGAGAGATTCTCATCCAGTTCCTGGTGGAAGCAAAGAATGACTGCAGTTTGGGATCAGTACATTTGTGAGATTAGAATGGGAACACAGCATCAGTTCTGGAGAGGTACAGGATGCCACAATATCGTGGAGAATACTAGCAATGGGTCCAAGCCTGGTATAAGTCTCCCTAATGTAAGGATATAGGATAGTCGGTCAATGTTTGTTCACCAGTACAAACAGCAAACTCTATTTTTTGTAACATTTCAAGAGAACTCTTTCTTAAACAGGCAAAAAAATCCATAGATACAAGGACAAATATTTTAAATGGACGCTCTCCTAGGCCTGGCAGCACAAAGCGTGTTACTGCCTCTGGCTAAGCAGTCCATAGCTTCAGTAACATCGTGCGCATTTCATGGCTTGCACTTTTTCTCAGGATCACCATTCTTATGGCACCTCTTGCTTTTTGCCCTTGCCAGCCTCCTATCATTGGGAGTTGGTTGCTGTCTTAAAAGCCCATCATTATCGCTATCCCTACATTCAGATTTTCTGTGTGCGTATGTATGTGTGTATTTACAACACAACATATTTGATCACTTTCGTTCTAGATTAAATCGTGGAATAATTTCTTCCCCATTTGGCTTTGAGGATGGAACAGGCATCTCAATGGGTATTTTGTTTACCACAGAGTTTTTTTGAGCTAGAGGTATTAACATCTTCCATATTATTGCCAATTTCACCCCTACCCAGTACCACCAAGTATTGTCTGAACCAGCACCACTTTTAGAGGAGGATATATTCATTGTAGTTTTCCCTCTCGCAAAGAATGCTTTAGGAAAACCTACTCGGTGGTCAGTTCTTTCCCCATTCTGACAATTCTGCCTCCCCGCATCTTCCTGTGCAGAAAATCTGTACTTCGTTCATGTCGTGACTTTATAACTAAACATCACAGCCCATTACTACTCTTAGGCTATGTCTACACTACAGACCTTACAGCGGCACAGCTGTACTGCTGCACCTGCACAGCTGTAAGGTCTCCTGTGTAACTGCTCTATGCCAACAGGAGAGAGCTCTCCCCGTCGGCATAATTAAACAACCCCCATCGAGCAGTGGTAGCTATGTTGGCAGGAGAGCGTCTCCCACTGACATAGCACTGTCCACATAACTTCTGTCGGTGTAACTTATGCCGCTCAGGGGAGTGTTTTTTCCCTGCACCCATGACTGGCAAAATGTTTATTGACAAAAGTGCTAGTGTAGACATAGCCTTAGAAATATACATCACAATCTCCTCACCATAACAACTGACAATTCCAGATTCATGGGGGTTTAAGTTAAAAGAAGATTTATTCGGGGGGGAAAAAACAGAATTATGAAATTAAAATTCATATTAAAGTTTAAGAACACATTTAGTTTCAAATTAAAGTTGGACAAATAGCTTAATTTTTTTTCGATGCATGTCATCCTCCTCCTGTTCACCAATTGTCAATTAGCAGATCACAGTTAAAACAAATTCATCCTACATACTAATTACACCTTTATAATTTTCATAAAGTGCCACCCACAAGGGCACTTGAGCAAGCATCTTTCTGAGAGAAATGTCTATTAGGATGTTAATTGACTTGCTCTCATGGACTAAGTTGTCAAACAGCAGCATATTTGTCACAGACACATTAATTTCACTACCATTTATTCAGCAAATACAGTTCCAAGGATATGGCCCAAGTACTATCACAACGTGGGGTTGGGGGAGTGGGGTTAAATAAATATAATCGATAGGAACTAATATCTAAAAAAAGTACCAGAAAGTGGGAAACAGGAGCTTGGGTTCTCAAGGGAGCCACAAGGCCAGGGTTAAGTCGGGCCAGGATGCCAAAGCCTGATCAATGTATTGAGAAAGTGTTATGATTTGATCCATGTTTTACCCTTATCACTAATAAAAATAAAAGGCCATGATTCCCCTGAATACTTAACTCTTCCCAGTTTCCTCCTACTGTGGTGCTTCATACCCATTCCCAAACAATGGCTCGAACCATCATCACACTAAGGACGTGCTCCCTCCCCACATCACACCGCAATGCTCAGCTAGCTTTCTCCCTACAGGAGGGCCGTATTCCCCCTCTTCCCAGCAATGGTGGTCCCTACTGTGCGTGGTGTTTCTGGTGCCGCACAAGCTGCGGCTGGAAGCGGAAGCACTTCCCGCACTGAGCACAGTGGTAGGGATTCTCTCCTGTGTGGATCCTCTGGTGTTTGATCAGATTGGAGTTCCCACTGAAGCACTTCCCACACTCAGTGCATTTGTAGGGTTTCTCCCCGGTGTGGGTCCTGCTGTGGTTGATCAGATCGGAGCTCTGGCCAAAGCTCTTCCCACACTCCATGCACGTGTAGGGCTTGACGCCGTTGTGGATCCTCTGGTGCTGGATGAGGTGTGAGCGCTGGCTAAAATTTTTGCCACACTCGGGACATTTGTACGGCTTCTCTCCCGTGTGCATTCTCTGGTGTTTTATACATGTGGAGCTATCACTGAAGATCTTCCCACACTCAGTGCATACGTAGGGCTTGTGTCCTGTGTGGATCCTCTGGTGTTTGATAAGGTTGGAGCTCTGGCTGAAGCTCTTCCCACACTCGTGACATGTGTAGGGCTTCTGGCCCGTGTGGATTCTCCGGTGCTGAATAAGGTGCGAGCTCTGGCTGAAGCCTTTCCCGCACTCTGTGCATTTGAAGGGTCTCTCCCCCGTGTGCATTCTCTGATGCTGGATCAGGTGTATGCTTCGACTGAAGCCCTTCCCACATTCAGAACATATGGTTGGTCTCTCTGATCGGGGTGTTCGTCGGGGGACGACGTCCTCTCGTTGCTCCTGGAGGTCTCGTTCGCTGTGAGTGGATTCAGTTGGTTTCCTCTCTGAAGGGTCCTCTCTCTGTGGCATTGCTGAGTTGTGCTGACTCACATGGGCTTTCCCCAGGTCAGGACCCTGGGATATGTCTCCTCCGGATCTCACTGAAAACACCCGCTGCAGTTCCATGCTTGCAGAATCTTCCTGCTGAGGAATCTCCTCCTCTCCACTGTGATCGCCTGGCAAAGATAAGATTATTCCAGACATGGTTATTCCCTGTGCTTGGGAGAAAGGAAGCCTTGGAAAGAGGACTTGCAAAGGACTCGTGACTACTGCTGAAGATCAGAAGTCAGGTCTTTCCCAAATAAGAGTGGAGGGGATGAGTTCAGCTTCTTAACACTCTTCTTAACACTCAGAGTATAGGTGAGGGTAGACAATACTAGCAGAAGTGAGTCAGAAAGGGCAGAAAGCCATCCTTGATATTTGCCCTGGAGATAGTTTTCTTACATTGTAACCAGTTCTCCTAATTACAAAACGGAACAAGATGACATGAGGCAGAACCATGAGCTCACAGTAGCTATTGGAATTCCAACTTCTTTTACTTCACTCATTGAGTGTTTCCAAGTTGGTTCAGCTTATTCCTCACCTGTGTGGGTGTATTTCAAGATCTCTGTTTCCTTGAAAGCCTGGTGACCTGAGTCAGATAGTTCAGCAGCCTTTTTCCATTTGAGAGGCCATGTCACATTTAGGAATTGGAAAACCTGCCCATGAGAAAGAAAACATCATGGCTTGTTAAATATTCAACCAATGCTTGTCACAAACGATGTTTTTAAGCCCAGCTGCTCTAATGGGGAGGGGAGGGAGCAAAGCAGTAGTCTGGAAGGGATGAGTCACCTGAATGGTTGGGAAAGTGTTCCAGGATACCTTTTGGGAAATAACGGTTCTGATGGTAGATGTGTTTTATCCGTGTAAGAGATTCAAGGATCCCTCTTAATGGGAGAATGATATTATATACAAAGCCAGCAAGAGATCCCCGATTCCCTTTTTAAGTTGGTGCCGGTGCGAGTCCCAGGTAGAAGTGCATTGCAAACCCAGGAATTTCCAGCAACGTTTGTATGCTCAGGCATTAGAGACAAGGACAGGAGTGGGCTGTCAACGGCACTTCTGAAAATCCTTCTAAATGGGAGGTGAGAGTCGCACCCAGGTTCTGAGGATTAAAGGGTCTGATCCCCCCAGGAAAGAACCTTGTGCTAGAGCAAATGAAGTCACTTCAGAGATGCTCATAAAAAAGGTGACTCCTTACCTAGTGAGACGAGATTCTGGTAGTTCTCCTGCATGACATCCCTGTTGAGTTCCATCAGCCCTTTGCCATAAAGCCCTGCTAGGACAGCACAACCACACCATAAAATGCCAATGGTACCTAAAACAAGCAGTCTCCATTCAGTATTTGCTGCTCCAAGGACAATCCCACTGCTAAGTAGCAAGGGGTAGTGAGAGGAGCAGGAGGGGCACAGGAACTGGGAGTTGCTGCAGAGAAGAACAGATGAGACACAATGGCAAGAAAAAGGGAAGGAGGGAAAACCTCAAAAGTCCCAAAGAGAGAAAGGAGGATGGGGAAGGAAGAAAACCAAAGGGAAAAGTGGGCAGTCCTAGGGCTCACCATGACCATAACATGTTATAACTAAAACTTACCCTGTCTACAGTAGTATTTTTTAAAAAGTGTTAGAGTATCTCCTAGGAGATACAGCTCCACTACTGGCTGGATCCAAAGGCTGTAACTGCTGGGACTGCTAAAAAAAAAAAATTAGTTAGGGATGGGCAAACACCCCAACATTCAGGCAATACTTGTATTCAGAGGCCGTATTATTGGATATTAACAAGTATATAAGCTTACAATAGAAATACCATGAATGAAAATATAAGCAATCAGGCAGCAGCAGAGAGGAGGGGCTGCCCATCATACTCAACCTTCAACAGTGCTACAGCAGCAGAGAGATCCACAGTAAGCTAATTGGCCAACCTGGAGCAGGCAAAGAGAATGAAGTGTCACTCTCTTTAGGGGAGGCAAAGATAGTGAATCCTATGGCTCCCCCGCTTCCCCCTTTCTTTAGTACTCTTGTGTGCCACTGGCAAAGCATATTCTAGGGTGTTTTCGTTCTGTCCTGAGCCAGGAGACCAAGGAGAGAGTAAGAGTCTGTAAACTTTCCCCCACTCTCATAGCTGGAGTTTTAATAAATGTTTATCATTTTGCTTTTAATTCCACTCAGCTACATGTACTTTTTATGGCTCAGCCAAGATATTTTTGGTTAATAGGGATTACTCTACTGTGGAGTTCCATGTTTTCAGCAAGCCATTTTCTATCCTTAGGAGCCTGGAATCTGCAGGAGAACGGACAGCGTAACATTTCCATTCTCCACACTGTGAACCCTGGGGACTACAGGGCAAAGCTTAGATTTTGAGGAAGCAATCCAATTATAGTGTGTATATTTTTCCCAACACTGAATAATGCTCACTTTCTGCTCCCACTGAAAGAGATTTTTGCCATAGGGAAAAGTACACCTCTACCCTGATATAATGCTGTCCTCGGGAACCAAAAAATCTTTCTGCGTTATAGGTGAAACGGTGTTATATCGAACTTGCTTTGATCCGCCAGAGCGCACAGCCCCTCCCCTCCCGGAGCGCTGCTTTACCGCGTTATATCGGGTCGCGTTATATCGGGGTAGAGGTGTATATCCTTCAATAGCACAAGTCTGCCTGGCAAGTATTACTCTTGTATTTGGGAGACAAGGTGAGCAAGGTAGTATCTTTTATTGGACCACTTTCTGTTGGTGAGTGAGACAAGCTTACACAGAGCTGGACTCAGGAGCAGCAGGTCCCTACTCTGCACCATCCCTTTTCATTCTAGCCTCCATTACTGGCTACTAGGGGATTCAGTCTCATTTACGCAGCAAGCGGATATCTCTAGATCCTCTAGTCCCACGCTGCTTGCAGAACGAACTCCCACGGTTTTGTAAGGATGGGAGGCTATAATTCAGCAAGGGGGTGAAGCAGGGGGTATGAGGCATTCCAGAATTGCAATTCCCCCCGTCAGCTGAGTGGGGACAGTGGAACATACAAGCAGCAGCTTGCTAGGTCAGGTGGAGTGCTAGAGGATGCTAGGGTGAGATGCTGGAATGGGGTGGAAGTGGCCTGCTGGAAAATGCTAGGGGGATAGGATGCAAGAATAAGAGGATTGTGCGGATGCTAGACCATGTTGCTCGACCAGAAAAGGGTGCAGTAATCGGGGGAGCAATCCTGCTGTATTGTGGCAGGAGGGTGGTGCCTGAATTGGGGAGCTGCTGGGGTGTGTATGGAGAGGGGGGCCAGGAAGGAGAGGGCTGCCTGCTGCAGTGCTAGTGAGATAAAAAACATGGAGCAGGGGTTCAAAGGGAAATCTGCAAAGGGACAGGAGGACAGATGGTCCCTGGAGAAGGGGGAGAAGCCGTGTAAAGGTGGAGGCTGCAGGAGGGAGTGGGGACAGGAAAGGCTAATGGAAAACGTCAAAAGGGGTGCAAGAATTGAGGGTCACACGCCTGGTCTGTGCCTCAGGAAAGGGGCACAGAAACAGGGTGGCATCCTTGGGAGCACCGTGGAGGAAGGGTAATAAATGGAAAGGCGCGGGGGGAGGGGGGGGAGAGAGAGAAACGTCCCTCATTTTTTCAGCTGGGTTCTGGATGAATTCCCACTCTGGAAAGGTCACAGGGGCCAGTTTGCAGGTCGCTGTGCCACTCTCAGAAGTCCCATCCTGAAAACACAATGTGTTTGCTAGAAGTCACATGGCTTCGAAGCTCAGAGTGATTTTTTGTGGGGCGGGTCTGCAGTGGTTTTTGAATGCTGGCCGTACAGGCGGCCTCACTCCCATGAGAGCCGGCCTCGGGAGCCAAGGCAGGCACGCCTCCCCCTGCGCGCCTTCAGCTCCGCCACGGGCGCGCTTCCACAGCCCCATTTTACCTACCTGCAAGAGAACGCGGACAGGGATTGCAGCCTCCAGCCCCGGGCTCGCCTCTGCGAGAGAGGAGGCGCTTCAGCCTCGCAGATCTCACTCACACGGCAGATTGCAGCTTCCTGCTTGGGGACAGGGAGGGCAAAGGACGCTTCCTGGGAGGAGCCAGGAGCGAGCCTGCGGGGTAATAGAATACCTCAGCGCTGCTAAGGGAGGGGATCTCTGCAAGGATCCTACCCTGCCAGGCAAGGGGTGGATACGGCCTGGTGTCAGAGCTGCTGGGAGACAGACTCATCACACCATGGCAGCCACTGCTCCATGCACGTTAGAGGGAAGCATGGTCCGGGAAGTAGTGAGGGCCAGCCGCAACAGCCATCTTAGCAAGGGGGTGGGCACCCCCAGGAACATTACTGAATGTACAGCCTGTGCCCAGCGTGGAAACACGATGGTGGTGGAAGCCATTCCTTGTAAGGTTGCCAGCTCTCTGGTATGCTACTTAAAGCCCCAGGTCCTGGAGTCAAATGATTGCAAATCTCAGTTTATTTGTATTTTAAGATTAAAAAGTTTCTAGCCCTCACAATTGTGGAGGAGAGCTTGACTGTATAACCTGAATGCGTCATAAAGGCTCAAAAATCCCAGGGGAAACAAATAACCCCCAAACTTGTATATTTTTAAAACCATGCTTTGTAAGGCAATTTTGTGATATTTTAAAAAACATTTTGGGTCTAGAAGACTAAGCTCTTTGCGAGAGGCTTTTTGTTCTGTCTCAAAAAAACTGCAGCCAGTCAGCAACAGGCATTTCTGCAATCAGCTCTTGATGTTTTACAGAATGATAGTGGGAGGCTAGGTGTTGATAGTCACCTCACACAGAATAGCAAACAGCTGCATTGCCCTCTGTGTGCAATAGGGCTTTGTATGTATGCAGTATCAGAGGGGTAACCGTCTTAGTCTGTATCCACAAAAACAATAAGGAGTCCGCTGGCACCTTAAAGACTAACAGATTTATTTGGGCATAAGCTTTTGTGGGTAAAACCCCCCACTTCTTCAGATACATATGTATGCAGTGTTTTTGCTATGTCAGTCCCAGGGTATTACAGAGACAAGGTGGGTGAGGTAATATCTTTTATAGGACCAGCTTCTGCTGTTGAGAGAGACAAGCTTATTACCCACGAAAGCTTATGCTCAAATAAATTTGTTAGTCTCTAAGGTGCCACAAGTACTCCTGTTCTTTTTGTGGATACAAACTAACACGGCTGCTATTCTGAAAGCTTTCAAGCTTACACAGAGCTCTTCTTCAGCTCTGGGAAATGTACGTGTAAGCTCAAAAGCTTGTCTCAGTCTAATATGTTAGCTCACCCACCTGGTTTCTCCAGTACAACTTTGTCACAAAGTCCGGCAATCAGTCTCCCTCTCTTTCTCTCACTTAAGCCCCTTTCCTTTCTGTGCACTTCTCCCCGACACCCATCCCAGGGAGGTAGGATGGGACTTTGATCACTTTTGGGTCTAGGCATTTTTAGTATTTAAGGAATAGGTTGTGTGAAAAGCATATTTGAGAGAAAACAGCATGTCTAGAAGGTTGGAAGAGGGGATTGGGAATCTGGAGATAAGGCAGTCTTTTGCTCATTTATACTTGCTTTACAGTCCCTTTAAATTGTCCAAAATTATGATTTGAAGGAAAAACATTGCAGAAGATAATATTATGCCTGTAGTGCCTTTAGCTGAGCTCCCCTCGAGCTTTAAAAATTTTAAGCCTCACAACATCCCTCTGAGGTAGAGGTGTTATCCCCATTTTACTGATGGGGAAACAGAGGTACAAAGAGGTTACGTGATGATTCGTCAGAGATTACACAAAGCAAGTCAATAGGAGAGCCCAGAATAGAATTTAGTACTCTTGTCTTCGAGTCCAGTAATATAGCTATGTACCAGGTTTTATATCTAGAGATTTTGAAAGTTTCTATGGAAAGGTTGGTGAGATGTTTTGCAGCAAAAGAAGTGATACTCAGTGCAGTCAAATGATAAATTTGATACAAAATTTGAGACTGAAATCAGTGTATAAGGGCTGGTCTACAATGGGAAATTGACTGGAATAGTTATTGCAAAATAAGCTATTCTGTAATAGCGCCCCCGTGAATACTGTTCTGGAATAAAAATGACTTTATTCCAGAATAATTACTCTGCTGTGGAAATGCACTAGTTATTGTGGAATAAAATTGACTTTTATTCTGGAACATAGCATGGTGGATTGATTTAAAACAAAGCAATTTAAATCACCAATTTTACTCATGATTTAAATCAGCAAGCAGGAAACCTTAATTTAAATGATCAATTTTAATCTTGGTTTGCATTTGTACCTTAGTTATTTTCCTAAAGAAAAGCTGATTCTCATTGGTTGTTAACCATTAAAACATGTTGATTTGCAACTCTATATAGTCTTTATATTAAATTTGGTGGTACGTTTTGCTAGCCAGGAGGATACACTATATATAGGTGCACACACATTTATTAAGCAATTATAGAGCTTAATATGGTTATTCACATTCTTCATTTTCTAACATAAATGTAAAAATTGTGAATGATGGATTTTGTATTTACTGGATATTATTAATTTTTACTTGTGAATTCTGTCAAGCTCTGGATGGAAATAGGAATTCAATTAAAATGTGCAGAAAAAATAAAATGAAGTATATCTACAGTTAGTGAATTGAAGTGATTGTATCTGGTCACCTTATCCTTCAAGATTTTAGAACTACCTGTAGTAGATCTCACCTTCTCACCTTATTCACAGACTGAAAGAGGAAAACAAGCTTTCCAGTTTTTTCCACTCCTAAGAAACCAGCTGAACCTGTTGAATAAACTGAAATAAAGAAACTATTCTCTGCACCCACAGAAGAGACTACTGCTGTCAAAAGGTAGTTTAGCACTTCAACAAATTCTGTTTCCAGATGCTTAGCCAGTTTGACTGTCTTTAAAACTTTGGTAGCAAACATGTACTGCTTAATTTTTTCATTTAATTTAAGTGATATTAATAGATTACAGTAAATCTCGGCCTTAACATAGGTTGTCATAATGTCAAATTTAATTTTAAATAGGTTCATTTTAAAATAAAATCTGATTGTTTTTTAAAATCCATTTTTATACACCCTGTAATAGAATGTCCACAGGGAGAGCTATTCTGGAATGTCTAGTCCAGTCAATTTCCACATGTAGACAAGCTCTAAGTGAGAAAAAGTTGCTAGGCATGGTACATTTTAATTGTATGATATATGAGGGAAAACACCTGTTGTGACGGTGACTACCTGAATTTTCTTTGTTTTGTATAAAAGTACATAAAGGGAAGATGCTTTCTGTAGATTGAATGTGGAATGGCTAATTTAATTTCCTGGGCTTGGGGTGCTGCTAGAACAGGGAGGAGAGAGGGTTTGACTTTTGGCGGGTGGAGGTTGAGTGAAGGCTACTGGGAGGAGAAAGTCTGGACCCATACTACTACTTTCATGTTAGGAATGTCTCTTCCTCTCCTAATGTAGTTTGCCTCTCGCCATGTTACTTGGCCTGATTCCCTCCTTTCGGCCAAGCAGCAGCAAGGGACAAAAAGAGCACAGCTGTCGGTGAAGCTGTTGGTGAGTTTCTGGCATACTAGTTGCTTAGTGGAGATGGGCAGGTAGTATGAAGGTCTGTGGGGTTAACTATCAAATATACTTTTCAAAATATTTTTACTGTCCACAGTTAAACACAAGCCAGAGGTCACCAAGACTGTTAAACAGTAATGAAATAGATATGGCCCTTGCACAGTAGTAGTAAGAGCATCAGCCCTCTGTTTTCAAAATACGTCCCATGTTAGGGTAAGTGTGATGGGCTGTACCAGGCATTCACTGCCCCCTGCCAGAGATCCTGCTCCTTTGGCACATGCTGCCCTAAGAAACTGTCCTTTCTTAAAAAAAAAAAAAAAGCGGGGGGTGGGGAGGGCAGCAAGTCTGGACCTACAGAGGCCTTCCAGTATCAGCTACTGGGGGAACAAGTGAGACTTGGTTCTCTAACAGCAGGAAGGGCCAGGAGCAGGCAGAGGTCACTCAGGGATCAGCAGGTTAGATAAAAAAGGCTGGTTGCTTCTGTCAGGGCCTAATTCTAGGTGAAACTAGGATAGGGGAGTAAAGGCACTTTCTCCTGTCTGATCCCAAGAAGCCAGGCTTGGAAGAGCCTAATTGTGATTGCACCTTTGGGTTTAAATCACTGAAAGACTTTTTGTTTATATTGTGCAGTGTGAAGCCCAGGTGGGCCAGTCTGTGTCATTAATTTGACTGCTGTAATATTAGATGAGCTTAGTTTGTAAGATGCTCCAATGACTTAGATGAGCCCATAACAAGAAGTTAAGAGACAAAATTCGGATACATATGTGCAACCCCGTTATCATCATTGGGTGACACGAATACAAGCAAGGGAATCTGGCACAAGGAGTACAATCCAGGCATTATTGGGAAACCACTGAACACAAGTGTGTTGGGTCTTACGCTTGTTTGTGTAATCTACTAAATGCAAAATTCTAATGTACTCAGAACTTCAAAGGGATAAGTTTGGAAGAAATAAACTTTAAAAAAAAAACAGTTTTAATTGTTTAACTACCATATAATCAACTACATAACTCAAATTATCAAAAATTTGGTGTTTATACAATATGTATCCCTGTGATTCATAGGCGCTGACTCCGTGGGTGCTCTGGGGCTGGAGCACCCACGGGAAAAAATGGTGGGTGCTGAGCACCCACCAACAGTCCCATCAGAACCTCCCCCTCCCTCCAGCGCGTCCTGCCCGCTGGTGGGCACCGCCAATCAGTGCTTCCCCTTCCCTCCCAGCACCTACCGCCTGCCGCGAATCAGCTGTTTTGCAGCATCTGGAGGCACTGGGGTCGGAGGAGCGAGGATGTAGTGTACTTGGGGGAGGGGGCGGAACTGGGCGGGGAAAGGGCAGGGCGGGTGTGGGAAGAGGCAGGGAAGAGGCGGGGGCAGAGCAGGGGTGGGAAGAAGCAGGGCAGGGGTGGGGTCCTGGGGGAAGGAGTTGAGTGGGAGTGGGGCCTGGGCAGAGCTGGGCGAGGAGCACTCCCTAGCAGATTAGAAACTCGGCGCCTATGCTATGATTTAGCTGATACAGGAAAAAAACTTCAGATGAAGTAACTTTTCTAGGAGGTGGGTTAAAGAGATTGAATCGCATAAAATGTATGTATTATGTTCATGAATTAAATCTAGGTTCTGCTGCCTCTACGTTTCCTTCAATAAATACTCCCTTTACCTCCATCAATTCTTAGAGGGATGGCCTTTCTGTACTGCTGTTAGCAGAATTAACCTCTGTTTCTCTTCACAGATGTCTCAATAGCATATCCTTTCCTGTTGCTCCCAGATGTCATACAGTGAGTACTAATGCTATTTATAATGTTTAAAGGCAAACCGCATAGGAAACATGGAAAACCATGTTACTGTAAACTAAGAAGATACTGATCACAGCAAGTAGTTACACAGAAAGAAAAATGTTTACTAAACATCCATTGCTTGAGATTATGGTCTTTCTTCCTCACGATCTGAGCAGCTTGTTCAGCTTGTGAAAAAGGAACCACAGGTGCCGGCTATATTTACTCAGGTTTTAACTCTTCCGACCCTCTCCCTTTCCTTGCTCTGAGAGAATAAATAAAAGGTTGGCTTCAGCCATTTTAGCAATCCTGATATTATTAATTTAAAATACCTCAGCCTTTCAGCACACACAGCTTTACCTCATAAAGTCACTTGGTTGCAGCATGTGCTTGGGAATTTGTAGCCTAAACTTTTCCTGCCCCGCTGCCAGGAAGTTTGTTTTTATTTTCACATTTTCCCATGCATAGGTTATGATCTGTCCCAAGGTTGGAGACTAGTCTGTTATTTTGGATTTGGAGGAAGCCTATCTGCAAGCCCGATGCCAACACATCTTTCCTCATGGACCACACACCCTCCCCCAGACAAAAATGTATTTTTAAGAAAAGTCGGAATATGTTTAATATTCTGAGACCTGTGCCTTACTCCTTAGCATATGTTTGGATGGTTTACTCCAAATTAAAAATAAAATTGTCTGACCTGAAACCAAAGAAGTTTCATTTTTAGTACAGGATCACTACAAAGAACTCCAAAAAAAAAAAATGTCTAGGCACTGTAAGGTTTCATAATCCCAGAGGTTCTCACCATTGGTCATCCTACTGAATGAAGCAGAACTGGGTGGGGAGGGGAGTGTTCATTGTTTAAGGATAAAACTTGTCCCACCCCACATTGTGTTTAAGTCCTGTCCCTTATGTGGGTTCTCAGGTGTTTGGTGAGTGCTGAGCTGAATCTGAAGCTTTTCCCACACTCTTCACAGCTGTAGGTCTTCTCTCCGGTATGGATTCTCCGGTGCTGATTGAATGTTGATCTGTCAGTGAACCTTTTCCCACACTCAGCGCATGTGAAGGGTCTCTCCCCCGTGTGGATTCTCTGATGTGCAGCAAGGTGCGAGCGCCGATTGAAGCTCTTCTTGCACACTCTACAGGCGTAGGGTCTCTCTCCCGTGTGCATTCTCAGATGCTGAGTAAATGTTGAGCTCCCACTGAAGCCTATCCCACATTCACTGCATTGGAAGGGTCTCTCCCCAGTGTGGATTTTCTGATGTGCAGCGAGGTTTGAGCTCCGACTGAAGCTTTTTTTGCACACTCTGCAAGTGAAGGGTCTCTCTCCTGTGTGCATTCTGCAATGCTGAATAAGCGTTGAGCTCTGGCTGAAGCCCTTCCCGCACTCTGTGCATATGAAGGGTCTTTCCCCTGTGTGAATTCTGTGATGTTTCAGGAGAGTGGATCTGTGATTGAAGCTCTTGCTGCAGTTGGCACACAGGTAGGGTCTCTCTCCTGTGTGGATTCTCTGGTGGTTAGTAAAGTGTGATCTGTCAGCGAACCCTTTCCCGCACTCATTGCACCTGTAGGGCATTTCCCCAGTGTGGGTTTTCTGGTGCTGCATGAACATTGATCTGCTGGTGAACTTCTTCCCAGAGTCAGCACATGTGAAGAGCAACTCCCTGGTGTGGGTTCTGTGGTGATTAGTGAGGTATGAGCTTGTTGCAAACCCTTTCCCACTCTCTTCATGTTTATAGGGACTACCTTCCATGTGGATTCTCTGGTGGTTAGTGATGTCCGAACTCCTCTGGAAGTGCTTCCCACGCCCATAGGGCCACTCCCTGCTGTAGATTCTCTGGTGCTCCATGGGGAAGGAGGCATCTCTCAAGCTCCTCCTGCCCTGGGTGCGTTTGCACAGCCTGTTCCCTGTGTGAGTTCTCCGGTGTTTGGTGAGTGTGGAACTGAACCTGAAGCTCTTCCCGCACTCTGCAGCCGTAGGGCCGCTCCCCAGTGTGAGTTCTCTGGTGCTGCATGAACATGGAACTCTCTGCAAACCTTTTCCCACACTCAGTGCATGGGAAGGGTCTCTCCCCTATGTGGATCCTCTGATGTGCAACGAGATGTGAGCTCCGACTGAAGCTCTTCTTGCAAAGCCTGCAGGCGTAGGGTCTCTCTCCCGTGTGCATTCTCAGATGCTGAGTAAGGGCTGAGTTCCCACGGAAGCCCTTCCCACATTCAGTGCATGTGAAGGGTCTCTCCCCTGTGTGGGTCCTCTGATGTTTGAAGAGAGTGGAGCTGTGATTGAAGCTCTTCTCGCATACCCTGCATGTGAAGGGGCGCTCCCCAGTGTGGATTCTCTGATGGTTAGTAAGGTATGAACTTTCTGTGACCCCTTTCCCGCACTCTTCACATGTAAAGGGTTTTTCTCCTGTGTGGATTCTCTGGTGTTTAGTGACATGCGAGTTCCGCTGGAAGCGTTTCCCGCACTCTCTGCACACATAGGGCCGCTCCCCACTGTGCATCCTCTGGTGCTCGACGAGGGCGGAGCTGTCTCTGAAGCTCTTCCCACACTCAATGCATTTGCATGGCCTTTCCCCTGTATAGGTTCTCAAGTGTTTGCTGAGCGCCGATCTGAAGCCGAAGCTTTTCCTGCACACTTTGCAACTGTAGGGCCGCTCCCTGGTGTGGGTTCTCTGGTGCCGGTTGCAAGTTGATCTGTCGGTGAACCTTTTCCCACATTCAGCGCATTGGAAGGGTCTCTCCCCTGTGTGGGTTCTCTTATGTGCAGCAAGGTATGAGCTCCGACTGAAGCTCTTCCCACACTCAGTGCAGGTGGTCAGCCTGTCTTCTCCACAGATGTGCTTACCATTAGAGGTGTCTCTCTCCTCAGGACTCTGGGAAATATTCTCTTTGGACCTGCTGCCTGATAATGTTCTAGGCTGCTCCATTTCTTCATCAGGACCTTCCTGCAGAATCCCATAGTTTCCTGCAATAAAAGGAGAATCCAGGGATGATTAAATCCCCATGTTTGAGAGAAAGGGAACATTGGAAAGGGGGAACTGCAAACAGATTTCTTCACAAATCCAGAGAACTGAATACATTAAAGATATCCAGAGTTGAATACCCTGGCCCTCAGAAGGGACCAAGGGATCAGATCAGCTTCCATTTCCCTGTGACAAAGTATATGTACCTGCCCTGAGGGAATCAGGAAGAGAGATTAATCCCCTTTGCTGGGCAGAAAGGAGGTTACCTGAGCTCCCAGCATTGGAATTCATTTAGCTGCTGAGAGGAGGAACTGACAGCTGTGTCTGAGTGAGGAAAGCCAGTAAGACAGAAGCAGAGCCCTCTGGGGGGAGAAGGGGTCCTAAGAAGGAAGACTAGCAGATTTGTAGTTTCCCCCACACTCCAAGCCAGTCTGGGGAAGAGTAGTGACTGATGAATAAATCGCATGCCCTGAACTGAGGTCTATGCCACTGACAGAGACTGCAATCCCAGTGAGACTGTTCCTGGTTTTGATTGTTTCTGGACATTTGGACTACACAAAAGGAACTTGCCTTGCATTATTTTTGTGACATTTGGGCTCCCCAGCGCTATCATCCCAAGGCTGAGACCAGAATATTTTTCTTCTTTTTTGGGGAAAGACTTGGAATGGCAGTTACGCCCATTAACCCGCCCTCTGCCCCATATGAATAAACACACAAGTAAAAGAGATTTTTTTTGCTAAAAATCAGTTAGAATCAGAGGAAAGCCATGACTGATAACTCCTGAGTACCATGCAGTATTGAATGGCAGCTGGACAGGAGGTGTGTGCTCCCTTTCGTATGCATTCCCATATACAGCCCCTGCACTGTATTATTAGCAGGGGTGGCAGGACTCTCTCCTCTTGACTCACCTTATTAGTAGGTATTAGAACTCAGCACACAACTGCTGGAATTCTACTGAATCATTGTAGCAGGTAAACTCATTGACTCTGCCTAGGTTATCACTGTGTACAGTAGATTGGAATACAGGCGAGTCTCATCTTACGCGGGGGTTCCATTCTGCGGTTAGCGCGTAAAGCGAAAACCGCGTATAGTCAAAATTACATTGAGTTGAATGGCGGGCGGAATCGCCCGCACTACAAGTACAGTATTAAAATTATTTTTCTTTTTTTTTTTTTTTTGCCGACCGCGCAAAGCTGAAATCACGCATGTTAAATGCGCGTAAGATGCGACAGACCTCTAGTTCTGTAGAGAAAGGGAACTAGAAAAGAGGTGGTCCTGGATGGAAACCCTAAGGACTGCGGAGCTCAGCAATGAAGTTTAGGCTGAGACTTGTCATAGATTTGAGTTAGGTGACAAAGCCCAGTCCCAGGTTGGGAGCAGAATCTGGAAATTGTCGTAAGAACGGCCATACTGGGTCAGACCAATGGTCTATCTAGCCCAGTATCCTGTCTTCTGACAGTGGCCAATGCCAGGTGCTTCAGAAGGAATGAAGAACAGGGTAATTATCACAGGATCCATCCCCTGTCATCCAGTCCTAGCATCTGGCAGTCAGAGGCTTAGGGACACCCAGAGCATGGAGTTGCATCATTGACCATCTTGGCTGGTAGCCATTGGTGAACTTATCCTCCATGGCAGGGGAAGCATGCTGTGTTAAGGATGGCGTATGATGCCTACTTATACCACTACGGGAGCCTGTTTATAAATTAGTTTCTCTCAAAACGGACACTTCATAATCCATCCATCCTTCAGTGACATGACGTCCCTTTTCTAATACAGCGAATGTCTAAGAAAACCATCTCCTTTTCTGGATCCGAGGTACCACTCCTTATCCCTTTCTTTCCTTCTCTGAGTGCAAAAAAATCACCCCAAAACCCCACTGACAGATGACCATATGTGCACCACACTGCAGCGATGTGGGACAGGTCTGAATGTTAAGTGCTCTCTGTCTTCATCTGCTTAAAAAATAAAAATCAGCACCTTTCTTTCATTCCATTCCCGCCACACATAAATGAGTGGTGTCCTGTTACTGCCTGACTCCCCACTACGTGTTCTCTGTGCCTGTGTGAATGCACAATTCACAGTCTTCAAAACATGAACTTGGGAGTGGTGACAGCCAGAAGCAATTTGTAATGGAATCAGTTTTCAGTTTTATTAGGGAGTGATGGTAATCTCTACAGAGAAAGCAGAAACTGGGGTCCATCATTAGCTCAATTTTGGCATCCAGGCCAAGAATTCACAAAAAAGTCAAATTGGCCTCAAAATTAGGAGGTTTGATCAGCGATTGAGGTAGAAGTTTTCTACCAGGTTTGAAGCAAACTGGACAAGCAGCTCCTGAACTTTGGATCCAGTCATTGGGGCCGGAGAGAATGAAATTACTCTGTAGACTAGAATTAAGGCACCCACCGGTAGGTGGGAGACACTGGGTCCAGGCTCCCTGCTCCAGTCACTTTAATTATTTATCCACAGTGGAACAGCTTCCACAGGAGAGGCTGAGAGAGCCCTACAGCGGAATATCCCATAGCCAAGTGGTTAGAGCACTCTCCTGAGGTAGGAGACTCCTGTTCAAATTTTCTCCCCCTAGCCTGCCTGAGGGGGGAGAACTAAACCTAGGTCTCCCACATCCCTGGTGAGTGCTCTAATCACTGACCTAAAAGTTGTAAGGTGGGCACCACCAATGCCGCCTCCTCTGGCCATTTTGTGTAGAGCGAGGCAGGAGCCTAATGCATTCCCTCAAGAAGCAGCTTAGGCGCCTAAGCAACTTGACTCTACGTGGCTGGTTCCTGTTCGTGGATCACTAAGCACATATAGGCGCCTCCCTGCTCCCTGGACTTAGGTGTCTCAGAGAAGAGTGAAGCTTAGTACACACCCTTCTGGTCAGCATTTCCCTTTGGCTAGATTAGGTGAGTCCACACCTAGCTTGCTAGCTTTTGTGGATCGTATTTTTAGGCACCTAGCTCTCCTCAGTCATTGTACAGGGAACCAAGGTGCCTAATTCAGGCTATGTGGGTCACAGTGTTGTTCCTGTATTTTTTTTCTAGGCGCCTAAAAGTTAGGTGCTGTGACACTCAGCATTACAACACCTAAGTCCCTTAGTGGATCCCACCCTGAGTCTCCTATGCTGTTTCCTTAAAGAAAAATCTTCAAAGTTCAACCCAATCATTAGCGTGGTTTGCAAATGGAAGAAGAATCTCTCTCTCCAAAGGCTTGCAGGGTGGACAGATGAAACTTTTGAAACCTGTGGATGGGTGGGACAGGGAATGGATTAGGTTTGTGGTGAAGGAGGCCTAGCTATCAGGCCTTCCTGTGAGAAGGTTGTAGGGCATCTGGCAAGGGTTAAGGTTCTGTTTGCAGGATGCGGGACAGTGGAATAAGAAGTTTGGCCAATAAAGGGATTTTTTGGGGTTCTGGAAATGGGTAGGAGAGGGATCGGAATGGATCAGGGTTGTAGAGGAGGAGGTCTAGATATCACTCAGGCCTTTTCAAGGAAGGGTTGTAGGAGCTAGAATTAGGTTCTAGGGCTGACGGGGATAAATAGCATCAATCAGATTGTGCCAGAGTGCAATGGAGATCAGGAGACAAGGGAAAGCAGAGGAAACAAGAAAGAGGAAGAATGATGGAGGCAGCCAAACAAAGGCAGAACTGTACTAAATGACTCCTACGGTGCACTGCAGGAAGGGGCAAGAATGCTCCTTCGTTCACTTCCAAACCCAGTTCGCACCTATCTGTGGTTCTTGTTTGAGAAATGTAACTTAAGTCTGTGGTTCTTTGGGAGGAGAGAAGAGGAGTGAGGGGGAAGAGACAAGAGACCTAGAGACCCTGAGAAGGAGTAAGCAGCCAAGGGGGAAGAGATAATGGGATATGGAGAGAGCATAAAGAGAATCTAAAATGGATAGTTCTGCCAACAATGTTTACTTTTGCAGGCTAATCAACTCTGTGAAGGGAATAGTGGTTAAATTCTTGGATAAAGATTCAAGGACTCATGCACAAAGATATAACAAATAAAATTCTGCTATAGATCACGGGATGTGGTAGCAGGGCAGCAGCTTTTTTCCTCAGAAGACCAAAATTAGCTAACTGTACACCCACCCCCTTTATTTTATTTTATTATTATTTTTTTTTGCTTTACCACTTCGAGACACCTATCCTACTGCCATCCATGACCACCATGGGAGAATCAGACAGCTAACTTATTTTTAATCTTTGGTAAATCAAATCATTCTCTTTTCTAATAGAGACGTTAAGCTGGTTTTTTTTTTTATTAGAAATGGTGTAAGCATAGAACTTGATATTGTGACTATATAATGAAACTGATTATCAGGTTTGTTTCCATGATTCAGGGTAAGAATCATGACATTTTCTTTTTGCTATTGCACATGGACAACAGGACACAGACTCGGCCATCGCACATCAGCTAACAAGATGAAAGAGAGCAGAGACATTATTATTAGAATCCCAGCTTTTTACTTCACTCGTTGCCTCACCCGTGCAGTCGACCATCAGGATCTCCGTTTCCTCAGAGTGCTGGAGATCTGGGACAAATGGCTCTTCCCCTCTTTCCACCTGGGCTATCATCTCAGGCTTGGGAATCGGAAATCCTGGTCATTGGAAAAGATGTGTTAACAGCTGGCTAATGTTTGAGTGCTCGTCACAAAGAATGGTCATGATTTTTATAAGCCCACATTGTTTTACTAGAGGCAAGGGTGTAATCCAAGTAGAGAGAACATTGTCACGAGTCCTGCTGGAAGAGTAAGTAACTGTTGGGAGATGTGTTGTAATCTCTGAAGGAGAATCAGGGATCTCTACACACAGGAAAATAAGACAACTGACACAGTGTAAAAAATTAAATCACTTGCCCATTTCTAAGCCTGCAGAGAGACTCTGGTTTTGTATTCAAGAATGAACCCTATGGCTCTTCCCACAGGAATTTTCCCCTTGCAAAGACAAAGCCAGTCTTAGTAGGTAATACAACGGTGAGAGTAAGTGAAACAGATCTGTTACGTCGTATCTAGTCTATCCCGCTATTCTATCCCAATAGAAAGCTCTGGGAATTAGCTCCACTGCTGTATTTCAGAATCCTCCTTTGACAGGGAATTGGTAGGGAGAGGATGGTCTGTTCTTGCATTGATTCTGGGTACCATAGGGACTGATTTTCTAGTTCTAAGGGGGCAGGGAAGGACACTGAGCAGAAGCTGACCATAGACACTTCAGAGACTGCACAGCTTCTTACATATATGAGAGTTGTACCCAGGGAGATCAGAGTCTCATAATTTTCCTGCATTACATCCTTGTAGATTTCCCTCTGCTCTTCATCCAAGAGGCTCCACTGTGCCTCGCAGAAATACAAAGCCACCTCATCGAAGGTCATCAGCATCTGAAACAAGAATTCCTACTCAGTGCCTGTTGGCCTACAACAATCCGACCACTCAGTCACAGGGCAAGGAGCAGAGGCAGAATAAAAAGTCCTTCCAACACTGTGGGTAGGATCCTTGTACTGTGCCTGCACAAGACTAGCATGGTGTGTCTGATGCAGCAGACAAGCAAGAAAATAAGTGGAAGAGGAACAGAATGAGTTTTTATTTTGTATGAACAATTTCCTCCCTTTCAGCCTTAGAATTATTAACCACTCCCTCCTTCCAATTGGGTTTTGGTTTCCAAGAAACCTAAATTCTCAACATGAAGTTAGTGGAAATCATTGAATTTCACCTGGTCTTGTATCGAACCCTGTGACAAGTGTGAATGGTGGAATCATAAGTCGGCCCAAGTACCTTTGAAAGGTTCATGAGCCTGTCATAGAATTATTGAAGTTGGAAGTGAAACAGATCTGTTATGTCATGTCTAGTGTATCTAGGGTGACCAGATGTCCCAATTTTTGGGTCTTTTTCTTATATAGGCTCCTATTACCCCCCCACCCCATCCCCCATCCCGATTTTTCACATTTGCTGTCTGGTCACCCTAAGTCTATCCCTCTGCCAGAGCAAGATTGCTCCCTACAGAACAATAGTGCACCGTTCAGTGTAGTTTTAAGTGTTCCAAGCGACGGTACCCCTACCATTTCCCTTGGGACATTATTCCACATCCTAGTAGGTCTCTCAGACTGTCTTTTCTGATATTCATACTAAATTTCTCCCTTTTTTCATCTCATCGCTCATAGAAATACTCCCCTGTGCCTACCTAAATAATTCCTCTGCCTCCTCCGTGTTTGCACCCTTCAAATACTTGTAGAAAATTGTCTCCCCTCCATAGTGGCACTTTTTAGCTTCCCTTGGTCAAGGCCCGCCAGACCCGTGAACATTTTTGTTGCTTTCCTCTGAACTCTAATTCCTTGATACCTTTCTGGTAATCAGGGACCGGATTCAGCTCTGTTGCCCAAGTTGAGCCAATCCAAGTGGGCTGTAAAGCTCCCTGCCGCAGGAGTATCCCTGGCACGGGAAACCCTGTGTGGCAGCCTCGACAGCACCCCTCTGTGCAAGGGATGTTTTGGGGCAGGCTGGGTGAAGGCAGAAAAGGGAATGGTTGGAATGCCCTCGTTATTTTGCATACGGGCAGCCACCCGGGCAATTGCAGCCAGGTGACAAGTTAGGGAAGACCTCAGGGTGCTGAACTGGCCCCAGGTCAGGCTGAGTGTGGCCTATAACAGAACTGACTTCAGTATTCCTGATGCAGCTGCATCAGAGACAGAGGAATTATTGCCTTCCTGATCTGTGCCACTTTTGTGTGTGTGTGAGTCATTTATAATTGCACTGGCCTATTATGCTGCCATCTGATAGTCCAAATGTATGTCTTATTTGCATCTTCTCACTTTATGGCTCTTTAGGCCTTTCTGTTTTCCAGGTTTCTCCCTCCCATTGAATACTGCAGTTTTGGTTATTCTCCCCTCCCAAGATCTATTTAACTTTTGTTTTTCCCCTTGAGTACTTCTATTTTCTCTAGTATTTGCAACACACCTGCCCCAGAGTGATTGGGATGGGGAATCACCCAGCCAATCCACAGGGGGCTAGCAGTAGGAGTCTCATGGACAGAAAAAAGATTGTTTCCAACTCCTTCCTGGAGCTCACCCCCATCCACCCCTATGAGGAGAGTGGCTGGAGAGGACAGACAGTCTCTTGTCCCAAGATGAGTTTGAAACCTCCCCATCACATCTCTCCACAGGGAATGAAGGGGTGAGGATCGATTTCACTTTGGATTTATTTTATGCTAATAACCCAGTCACCAAGAAGAGGTGTGGTTATTGGACATATGCCTCTAGGGATTATTCCTGGGAACCTGTAAAGGGGAAACTGAGGCAGGGTGCGGCAGAGCCATCCCTGGCCAGCAGAGGATGCTACAGAGGAGGTGTACTCTTTGACATCAAGTTTCATGAACATGCTGTTTACTCCTTCAAAATCTTTAATAGAGATGATAGATAAAACCAATTACCCATTCCCCACTAGACACCATTCCTCCCCTACAGGGCCTGGCCTGAGTTTCACATTTGTAACAAAATCCAGAATCAGGTGAGTCTCTTAAAACTAGAGCTGTATGAAATGTCCAGAGAGACAGGAAAGAATATTAAAAAATGAAAGTGACAGCAAAAGGAGGACGAGTGTTAGATCTCATAATCATAGCACTCACAAGAAGGGAAAGGAATGATCTAATCTGGACCCAAGGGTATGAATGAGAGTAAAATGATGAGAGGGATAAAAGGCAAATTTAGGCTGACTATCCGTAATTGTTTATTAGAATGCAAATTAGCTTGCTAAAGGTAGTGGCAAAAGCCCCATCATTTGAAACTAGACAGGGCAAACCTCTAGAAAATACAGCCAAGTTTTTTTTTTAAGGTGCCAAAAATTAGACTATTAAATCCATACTTAGGCAACTAAGTGGCCTGATGTAAAATGCATCATGTAAAAGCTCACTATGTCACCCAGACCACAGGACAGATGTATACAGAATTACATGAGTTCATGCACAATCATCATTTTAGAACTGAACAGCTCAACAACATTTTGCTCGTATAAAGTAATTTAAAACTCAAGAATTTCAGACAGTAAATTAAGCCTCAATTCCTCTGTGAGTTTGGCAAGTATCCTCCCGAATGTACAGATGGGAAACAGAGGCACAGGGAGATTAAGTGACTTGCCTAATATCACAGAATCTGTGGTAGAGCTGGGAATAGAATCCAGATGCCCTTTCTTCCAGTCCCACGTATTAACCACAAGACAACATTACTCTTCTACCTTTTGTTCCTGATGTGTAGGTCTACCAGACTGAGTAGGCCTTTTGCTTACCATATTTCCTCCCTCTGTGACCTTCATCTTCTCCAAATCAAACTGACAGTTTTCTTCCTGCTCCTCTGCTTCCATCTCTTCTTGCTCCTGAGGAAGCAAGTCAGGAAAAACGATAGATTTAGAAGGGAACAGAAATGTGGATGAAACACAGTTTGAACTATTCCTATTTCAATTACTCAGCCAAAGGACTTAGACACAGTTTTGCCCCAGCTGACACTTTTTATAATACAGCATCTCAGAGGCTGTTAAAATGGCCATTCCCCATTTCAGAACACTTCTGTAAAAGGACTGAAGGAAACTGTGCGAATCAGACCTGTCAGATTGCAGCATTTCCTATATATACAATCTGCACAGACAGAGCCTGGAGGGGGGAACATCAGTTTTGGGAGGAACTATTTTAGAGAAACACCAGGAAGCGAACATGAGCCAGGAGGCAGGCTATGCAGTAGAGCTGATTTGGAGCTACTGAGCATCGGTATCACACTGAAGTAAAGTGCAGAGATTAAGTCATCTATGGAGCACTCAGCTGCAATGCAGCACAAGGTGCATGAAGGACAAAAGCACTGCTGCTTCCAACAAAATCAGCACAGCAAAGGAACTGCTGAAGAGAACAAGGGAAAGAGACAAAGACCTGCAACTCCCCCTAGTTTAAAATATTACAAGTGTATTCATTTTAGCAGTAATGAACTGCAAACATGTACTCAGCAAGAGAAGAACCAGGTAAAAGTAAAAGGTTAGGTCATCTTGTCTGTTTCTCGTTCCATCTTCCCGCACATCCCAGCCCAATCCCATCTGCTTTCATAAATCACCTAAAAAACTACAATTATCTTACCCATGATGCTTAGTAAGTTTTGAAAGCACAGTGAAGAGAGCTGCTTCCCCTACCCAAATCATGAGTTTGAGAGAGTCCTAAGCTGTTGCTGAGAATCAGGCTACCCTGCTCTTTTTGTAAGCAAGGAACAGTCAATCAGAAAAACCAAGCTAGCCAAGGGGAAGGGACCAGAGAAATCCCCAAATGATTGAGGTTTCCTTTTCGCCTTTGGAATGTTCAGAGAAAGCCAAAAGCTGATTATCCCAGAACTATAGCCATAGGAGGTACATACTGTAGGCGGGGGAAGGCAATGCCTCCCCAAACCACCCCACGTGGGCACGCCCACACTCCACCCCAAGGCCTCCTCCTGCTTGCCTCTTGCCCCCAAGCCCAGGCAGGTTGCTCCTCTTCTGGGAAGCGTGCTGGGGCTGGGGCGGCCGGCCTGTGGTTGGAACTTGGGGTGGCTGAGGTCCCCAGCGCTGGGGTGCCCCCAGGCACTGGGGCTGCGCCACCTGGGGCTCCAGGGCTGAGGGTGCTGGGGCCATGGCAGGCACCTGGCACTCCAGGGCTAGAGGCTGTGGGGCTTCCCACCTTGTGCTCGGGGGCTGGGGGCACCGGTGCTCTGGGGCTGGTGGCCTCGGGCGGGAGCCTCTGGGCTTTGGCGGGAGAAGCAGGGCAGGAGGGGCAGGGGCTTGGGCAGAAGGGGAGGGCCAGTCTGGGGGCTAGCCTCCTTGAGCCTGTGGTTCACCCATCACTAAGGCTAAGATTTACTCACAGGTATTTTTAGTAAAAGTCACAGACAGTAAACAAAAAGTCACAGCCCCTGATGTGTCCATGACTTTTACTAAAAATAACCCTAACTAAATCTTAGGTGCTGGGGGTGGGGGCGCTTCCGCGGACACTACTGCTCTGGGGGGGACGCTCCAGTGGATGCTGCTGCTCTTTTGGGGGGATGCTCTGGGGCCCTGCTGCTGCTGGGGAGGTGCTCTGGGGCCCCACCCCTGCTCCGGGTGCACGGCAGCTCCCCAGAGCCCTGCCGCCAGCTCAGCGGCTGGGGGAGCAGCGTCCTGGGGCTCTGTTGCTGCTGCCGGGGTACCACTGCTGCTTGCGGATTGCTTCTCTGGGGCAGTGCCTGGGACCAACTGCCTGGGGCCACCCAAGCAGCAGCCAGTGTGTCTGGCCCCGGGGCTGCCCCAGCTGCTCAGGTGGCCCTGGGGTCAGCTGCACCAACTGCTGCAGAAGTCCCGGAAAGTCATGGAATCCATGACTTCTGTGACCTGAGTGAAAGACTCGCAGACTTACCCATCGCCCATGTCTATAGCTAACATTGCAGCGTGGCATACACCTACCTGCTTCTTTGTTACACACTCCCTAAAGGGAGTCTCTCTTTTTGCTGAAATCTCAGTGTATCATGCTCTGTAGTGTCTCCCTCACTCTGCCCTCCTCCCCACCCCCACTATCAACAGGTACTTCTCTGCTTCCTAGGATGGTTCTCCTTCTCCAGACTTTGCTGCATGCAGGTCCTTTAGCTTGGGAGTGGCTTGGGATAGGCACAATTCAGAACCTGATTGTTTAGGAGCAGCTAAGGAGGCATAGCAATAGTGATCTCATGAGTTAGGATACACGTTTCCATCCCTATTGGTTGGGAGAAGCTCCTGTCTCTCTCCTGGCAGATCATCCAGACAGAGAATTTGAATTGGCAATTTCTCTGAATTGTGTATGAGCTATAAACTCCGTCTGCTCCTGTCATGCTTCCAGCCTCATTTTAAATCCATAGCACATTTTTAGAACCCTCTCCCCAGCCCAAAGAGGTATTTAAATGCTTCAAGTAAAGGATTAAGAGTCCAAATGAATGATCAAGTAAGGGCTGCTGGAACCTTGAGAAAGGTCTCATATCTGTGATCATTATCCTCTCCCAGTTGCTACAAGAGGGTTCCAGCTGATTGGCACCCACACTGCCCCCAGACTTGCTCATTTTCATATCTTTGGCCTCAAGGCAAGGATTGGCTCACCTTGTTGCACGAACACACGTTTTTTATGTCCTAACCACACAATACTGGATTAAAGGGGGGCTGAGGGGACTGCACCCCTGAAGCCTCTGCTTTTCTGGGAGGCCTCCAATCCATCACATATAGACTATATACAAGGGAGATTTCATTATATGTACACTAACACTAAAAAGAAAAGAAAAACAACTAAAAACATAGATGCCCCTTGCTGACACTGATTTTGTTCTTAAGCTTTCAGTTAAAGTTTAATTTTTTTCAGATTTTCAGTTGCTGGCGATGGGGGTGTGAATTGGAAGCGCTAATCACTGGCTGCTAATTGCAGCACTGCCCAATACTTCTTTAGTATTGTTTTAATTCCCAAGTGGAGCAGCGAAAAGGAAAACTAAGTTAGAAAGAGAGAAAACTGTAAACAAATTACCAAAACTTACTATTTCTTTGCTAGTACTACTTCAGAATCATCTTCCAAAGAAGCTGGACAGTCTCTCTCAGAAATGATAATCAAAGGGAAGATATATATACATGTGAACTTGTTCCCTCAGGAGAGGGCAGAAGAAAAGGCAAGCGTTCTTGAAATCCAGGACAAAAGTGATACTGAAAATGATGACCCATTTTTCCTACCACTGTACAGAAGGCAAAGAGAATCGTAGTGATAAAGAGAATAATGTTGCCATTACTGTTGAACAATATCCAATTCAATGGCCTGCTTTGATAGCTGAGGAGTTTCACACCCAATGTATTGAGAAAGCTCTGCTCTATCTTCAGAGTCACAATGACAAATTTATAGCTTCTGAGCAGCAGTATAAACGTCAGAAAAGATCTCTCTCTCGTCTCTTCTTTTTGAATAAAAACGACCCAATGGAGCGCATTATCAGAGGCCTGGCTTGATGTATTCTAAATCCACAGGAACGGTATTCTGTTTCATGTGCAAACTCTTTTCCTCGGCTAACAATCTTAGCCCCTTTGTAGCCCCTGGCTTTTCCAACTGGAAAAAAGGAGAGAAGACTTGTTATGAAAACAATGTAGAACATCATAATGCCCTGGTTACTTGACTAGCCAGGTTGCATAGCTAGCCCATTTGCAAGGCAAGAATCACATTGATAGGGAGATGGTATGGCTGCTTCTAACACAAACTGCCTACTTGAAGGAAGTTTTAAGGTGTATTGTGGTAATTGGCAAGTTTCTTGCTGAATGTGGTTTAGCGTTTAGAGCAGGGGTCTCAAACTCGTGGCCCGTGGGCCATCTGTGGCCCGCAAACCTCCCCAATGTGGCCCATGGGGCTTCAGCAGTTTTGGGGCCGGGTCTCTCCTTTGACCCACCTGCCGCCCCCAGGCGCTTACCCCCCACAGGCAATTTACAATGGCCCGGGGCTCCGGCAGTGCAGCGGAGCTGAGCAGTGTCTGCCTGCTCACTCCAGTGGCTGCCGGCCCCTCCCTGTGGCCCCAGGGCGGGGCTGTGCCTCCCCGCGCTGCCCCTGCCCCAAGCACCCCTGCGGCCAATGGGAAGCTGCAGGGGCGGTGCCTGGGGGCAGCAGCACATGGAGGCCTCCTGGCCCGCACCGCCTTGGAGCCCCAGGTAAGTGCTGCACCTCCTGACCCCTTCCCAGAGCCTGCACCCATTCCTCACACACCCCAGCTCCCAAACTCCCTCCCAGAGCCTGCACCCCCTCCCCCTTCCCACACACTCCCTCCCACCCCCAAACTCTCTCCCAGAGCCTGCACCCCTCCCCCCTCCTCCCTCCCAGAGCCTGCAAACCCACCCCCTCCTCCTGCACCCCCACCCCCTGCCCCAGCCCAGAGCCTGCACACAGCACCCAAACTCCATCCCAGAGCCTGCACCCCAGACCCCCTCCCTCATCCAAACTCCCTCGCAGAGCCTGCACCCCAGTCCCCTACCCCAGACCTCTTCCCCCATCCAAACTCCCTCCCAGAGCCTTAGGCAGGTGGGGGGCGGAGTTTTGGGGGGCAGGTTCTGGGCAGCATGAGTGACATTATTGGCCCGTTGAGAGGATTTGAGGACTGGCACTGGCCCTAAGGTAAATTGAGTTTGAGACCCCCTGGTTTAGAGGAAGGGAGGAACTTACCATTTCTCCTCAGAAAGGAAATTATCTAGGTATTCTTGAAGCCATCTTCAAGAAAGGAAGAGAGAGCACAGGGAAAGAAGAACCTTGTGGTTAGATAGGGGGGAGGTGTGTGACAGAGGGCTAGGTGTGAAACCCTGAGTCAGCACTCTGTTTACAGCAGCTCCAGTCAGGCATA